TGTCGGGCCAACTATCCCGCGAGTCACGAATTCCGCGAACTTTGCACGCAGCCACCGAGCCGGCTTCTCGCAGACTTCGGTCCGAGAAAATTCAGCAGCTGGCGGACTCGATCGTCGATAGATCGATACTTGCCGAGGATTCTTCGCGAACTCGTAGCCGATCTCCAAGAAGCAACTTAAATGTCTCAGTCTCACGCTGTTGATGCAGAAATTCGCGATTACTTAAAGTTCGTATTTATCAGCGAAGGAACCGGTTGAAGCACGACGCTGGTTCTTGAAGATACATCTTCAGACTTCAGGAATGGAGGCACGGGAGTGAATTTGTTCTCGGAACCATGTCGTTTCAACCACGCCTAAAGGTCGATTCAAACTATACGACACGGACCGGCAACGACACGACGAAACATTAAAACACGCGTTTTAATGGAACTATTCGCACTTAACAAACATCGTCCTGAACATTCCGTCAACGGGAATAGTGTGAATAGTTCCATTAAAACGCGTGTTTTAATGTTTTGTCGTGTCGTTGCCGGAACGTGTCGTATAGTCTGAATCGACCTTAAGGAGAGCTCGTTCGAGTATCCGGGTATCCGTGTACGCACCTTTCGTCTCGTCTCCAAGTCTTTCGGTTCCAAGTTTGCGAAGAAGGCGTTCGTTTGCCGTAGGTCACGGAAGAAAGTAATTTTAGGGCCTGGTTCCGATCGGTCGGCGTAATCGCGGCTCGGGCAAACGATGGATGCCGTGGAAAGGAAATGATTTATGAACAACCAGAGGACGGGGATGGGAGGCTTCTCTCGCATTAACGAGATTGTAAGGTCGACGGATGGAGAGAATTCGGAGTTCTTCGTGGAACTTTCTTCCCGGAGCGGCGAAGAAATTTCGAAGAAGGAATAACTCTTCCTGCAGACGCCGGTAACCCCGGCCGCGTCGGATTCGAAACTTTCAGCAGAATTACTCGCTAACGATAGAAAGTTTCGAGCCAGGGACAGGCCAACCGGGGTTAACGTTTCGGTCTTGTTGCCACCGATGAGTAACTTCGAAAAGCGACTTTTGATTACCATCTCCGACGCATCCATCGGCGACGCCTTCGCTAATTTTGTTTATTCGATAAACGGAACGACTGAGAAACGCTTTAGGCAGCGATTCGTTTATCCCTGCAGATCGAGATTGGCTCCGCGTACAATTGGAAATTACGGCACGGGAATCATGCGATTTATTGCACGATGACTCGCGCGTCGAGCTGCGCCGATGTAATCGTATGACGACATCCACGTAGTACACGTTGCGCAACAACTACACGCACTTCGCAATTATCATCCGAACCTCGGTTGTATAACTGATCGCACGATTCATCGTTACCTCTATGACCCTCGATAGTTCCTACAATCGCTTGAACTCGATAGCAATTGAAGGAAAAAGAAGCAACAATCCTGAACGGAGGAGTTCGTATATTTTCCGATGTTTCCAGACGATTACGAGACTGGATAATTACTCCTTTCTCAGATTTTAACCGAAGGACCCGTAAAAAGGTGTCGTCGATGGCTTCAGCAATCTGGTCTTCAGTAGACTTCACCAGAAATAATACAAATCCAGCACCAACTGGACCCGAGAGCAAAACTCTTTACAACTACTCAAAACTAGAGTTTAAACGAGGACTCCAAGCACTTGCCTCGGGGAAATGTAAAAACCAAGGGTTTCTGGTTTTCCCATACTCTCGAATAACCCTCAATAAAGTATACGTTAAAGAATGAACTCCCACCAGTGGTACTGATACTAATAATCTGTTATTAGGCCTCGTTTATCGTTATACAAATAAACTGGTGATAAGCGAAAGTTTCTATACCGTTTTACGAGCGATGGTTACCATCATGCTCATCACATGGCACGTAAGGAGACATTACTGCGCTATGAATAAGTAGAACGTAGACAGCGCGAAATAATATACCTCGCGAAGCCTGACCATGACGCCTGATTCGATACGAAAGGTCACGAGGCAGGTCTTCTTTCTCGATAAAATGCAACAGGATTCAACTTTGAAAATCAGTTCGAATCGAATCAAAGGACCCGCGGCAGGCGAGTTTAATAAATCGGTATACGAGACCGTATTAATAAATCGGTTTGGGCAAAAATCGCGCTCGTCGTTAAAGGCAAAGAGTCGATTTCCAACTAATTTATTTAAGGATCGTTTCCCAGAGCGAACACGGGGGAAGAGTATCGAAGCAATCGATCGATTAATTAAAATTGCAGGATGACAGGAGAGAAAGACGCGGATAAAAGAGAAAGAGAGTCGGCTGGGATGGTCGTCCTTTCGATGGCGTTCGATTACCGTCTCGCCAGGAAATCGAGCGAAGAGGACACGAAGAAGGTGGGGCAATCGTGTTCACGAGGAACGGAAGTCGGCCGCCAAGGTAGCAACGGACACTATTCCCGATTCCTGAAAGCTCGAGGGTGCCGCAAACACGACTTTATTGATTTCCCGCGTTAAAGGGAAGCGCCCGATCCGCGCTGAACCGCGACGCTCCGTGGAACGTATTTCCTAAAGGTTTCCCAGTCGCGGGGATATCTCGCAACCTGATATTTAATATCGATTGGAGAAAACGTAAGACGATAGAGGAGATGACCTCGGTTCACGGTAACGGACGATAAGGCGATAACACGCGGTCCGATACGTTGGAAGTTGTCTCGCTCGTTATCTTACCGGTGCGAAAGTAGCGTCGCTCAAGGACGGAAGAGTTCTCCACTCGTGGTCTCTATGAATATTAGACGCTGGTAGGCTAGAGTCTAGGCGTCGCAAACTTCGAATATACACTAACGGACAAAATTAAAGGGACACTTCTTTAAAACGTCATATCTATGGGAGTTTTCAACCGATATTGGGGAAACTTCGCGAGGAGTAGTTTTGAAGTGTCCTCTAAATGTGCGCAAAGTTGCATCGGCGAGGGTTGATACGAAGGGGTTAAGTCGAAAGACGCCACTTCTGAAGAGGCCAGGGGTGACGGAAGGGGTTGAAAAAATCAAAAAAATCTTTGGCGCGACCCTCCTCACTGCTCTCAATAAAATGCACCTCGCAAAATCCCTCTCGGGCAAACCCACCCCTCACAACACCCCACCCCGTCCAAAATCTACAATTTTTGGACTACAGTCCCGAATTTGGGCTCAATGCATTCCCTGGAATCTCCTGATCCAGAACAGAGCCGGCATGCAGAAGTGGAGCGAGGGCCTGCAGCCGTACGTGGTCAGCCCACGTTAAATTGGAATCCGGTCTGGTCTGGCTCCACTTCTGCATGTCAGCTCCGTCCGGCCCACTTAATACTCTTTCAAATCTACTCCGATTTGACAACGAAAGCGTGATTCAAAATATCCGAATTTTTGGGGACCTGTTAATAAAGCATTCGCGCGTCCGAATCCACAAACGGCGTTGACTTGGGGTTACTCGTTCACCTGATACACAGGCCTAAACTCGTGGGTGGGTTTTCTAAAAAAAAAAGCGTCATTTTCGTACTTTAATGCTATCCACGCGGGGAAAAGACATCAAAACTGTGTCACTCCAATGCCTTGGACCGTATCACATGTGTTCCACGCAACGAAACATCGTTCCAACCCCTACACCTGTGGGTGGACCACCCCTAACTCTGGGCCACCCTGTTCAGCTCCAGGGGCAGTTTTCGAAACGAGCTTTAAATGACATTGATCCTTAACGTACCGAGAATAAACATGGCGAATTTCATCGCCCTTCGAGGTGTGGAAGTGCTCCCTTACGAAGGGTGTTGAAAAGTGGCGAACTGTTCCATCCCTCCAAGGGGTGCCTCTACGGCCTGAGCGTTGGCATTTCCTGGATCAAGGGAGTCCACGGAATGCATTGAGCCCAAATTCGGGACTGTAGTCCAAAAATTGTGGATTTTGGAGGGGGTGGGGTGTTGTGAGGGGTGGGTTTGCCCGAGAGGGATTTTGCGAGGTGCATTTTATTGAGAGCAGTGAGGAGGGTCGCCCCAAAGATTTTTTTGATTTTTTCAACCCCTTCCGTCACCCCTGGCCTCTTCAGAAGTGGCGTCTTTCGACGTGTCCCTCTTTACGGGGGTGACTTAACCCCTTCGTATCAACCTTCGCCGATGCAACTTTGCGCACATTTAGAGGACACTTCAAAACTACTCCTCGCGAAGTTTCCCCAATATCGGTTGAAAACTCCCATAGATATGACGTTTTAAAGAAGTGTCCCTTTAATTTTGTCCGTCAGTGTAGAAATAAACTATGGAAGTTAAAGGGACACTTTATAATGGGCTGAGAAACAGCATGCCCGTCGAAGAAAGTAGGATTAAAGGTTGCAAGAGAGTCGATGTTTTCCCCTTAGTTTTTGATTACGCTCATTAAGTTCAAACGGGGTTCATTAACTTTCGAAACAACATATGTTTCACATGTGCGAGAGTATCCAGCACTCGAAGGACCGAGCGATCCATCAATTTTCTTGAAAAGCCTATCAAACTCCGCGACATAAATTACATCCTCGGAGCGACCAGCTCTCTAGAATTTTCCTCGGGTTCCGAGCTTGCGGAACCTCGAGAGCAGCTCGGCGGAACGGAACGTGCACGAAGCTATCGTAACGCCCGGGTTACGTGTTTACTTGGACGAGGTTATCGCGGTTCCCGATTCCGTGACTCAGAACCTTCCGCCCGATCGGCGATGGAGGTTGCGAAAGTCGACGTCACGATCCTGGACAGCCACCGATCAAGCTAACGGTCCGCCGCGAACGGTTCCCGGTTATTCCGTGCTGTTAGCTCTCGGTCTGGCGGAGCTCTCGCGAGCCATCCCATCGTTTCTCTCTCCCTTTTTGCTCGGCGACGTGAAAATATTCGCTTCGCCGACCGAGTATCGGTTTCCAACGTTTCTGACTCGAATAGAGCGGAGAAGCGAAAAGCGGCAGCGTGACACACTGCTCCAGGCGCAGTTTATTATCGTAAACTACATAGCGATTTAATAATAGAACGGAATTGAATTTCACTCACCATGACGAGCGCGTGCGTCAGAGCAGTCGATGACCTCGACCTCCTCGGTGTCATGCCGACGACCTCGCCTCTCATGATGCTCTCCACCACTGCAGAAAGAGAAGTTTTTTCCGCGCTTTAGACGGGAAAAATCTATGCTTTTTTTGCTCGTCGAAATTCCATCGGTTTCGAGTTACGGGGGGTGGGTGGGGGGGGGGGGTAGGAATATTTAAATAGCAACAGAGTCGGAATTAACGCGATCTCGTGAGCGCATGAACCCACGAATTTAGACTGGCTGGTAAACAAAAGTTGAGAATAAAACGCGGGAAAAATCCCCAGCGAACGTGCGCTGCCCGCCCAATTCCAACACCCTTCCAAGAACTTCCCTTTGCACTCGAAGCCATTTTGTTGCAGAATATGCCAATAGGAATAATGTGGCCTAAAAAGCACGTCATGTATTCTAATACTACAGTGTACACTGTACACTTTTGAAAATGTTGTGCTCCAAGAGAGTTTATCTTGTCTGATCTCTACCAAAGTTCTCTGGACTTCCAACGTCCCCTCAGAGGGGACATCCGAGTGCAAAGGGTTAATAATTCTATCTTTGCGGGCCCTCAGCCCAAGAAGATGAAGATTATTAAAGATTATAATCATCCGTGACCGAGATCAAAGTTTCTCTTCTATTTTAAAAAGTATCTCTTAATAAAGTTAAGAGCTATTGCTCTAATTTAACGAAGCTCGTGGAAGGTCGCGGGGAGCGAGACGAACGTCCTCTGGGGAACACCGACGGAGGAAAATCGTTCTATTTATCCGTCGGGGAGAATTCATCGACGTTGCGGCAGCATTCATCGCGAGGGTCATTCGTGGACTCACCTCCGTCGCCAATCAGTCGCATTTGTACTAAGCTGGGGTCCTCGTTGTGATCCTCGAGAACTGTGTCGTCGGTGACAGTCAAGTCCTGAAATTGCATCGTACCCGGCGTGAATCAGCAATCAGAAAAAATTCACCCGTTCGAAGTGTTTGAATTATTATATTTTCAGCCGTCGCGTCGAGGCGACTGTTTCGGTACCGATTTGTTTAAACTTTAACGAATAACCGATAGATAAAGTCTATCTTCGCTGTGCACGTCGATACACGGTACCCTATTTCTAGCATTGCAACGAGCTACGTGTTAGGTAACGAATCATCGATCACCGTTGTTTATTTACATCCGACGTTATCCGTTACTGTGGAACGAGTTTAAATACACTGTTTGAGATATTTAAAACAGACCACCTGAACGATTCACTCGCTGTTAACGACTGAGGAAAAAGCGCGAAGGATGAACTTTCAATTCCGACTATTCCCGGCAAGTTCTGGCAAGTCTTCCATATTCTCGGAATACGCCGGATTGAAACATCAGGTCTCAGGTCTACATATTGTTTCCATGGGCAATTTATGGATCCTGGCGATCCCTGTCGCGGCGTATCCGTCGATTCAAGGGTTAAAGATCGCCCCGTTCGACGGGCTGCTCGTTAAGCCGTGTCACGATCTCGGCAGTCTTCTTTGTCAACGTGCCCGACCGATCGACGATGCCAGAGCTTGCGCAAAACTTGGCCAAGGAATGACTCCGTCTTTCGTCGGCGCCCGATCGAATCCTTTTCTCTCGTTCCAAGCGAAAGTTATGGACACCGACGATTCTGAACGCGACGATTCTGAACGCGAATATTCGCGTCTAATTGCTTCGAACGATAAGGATCGATCCAAGTGGTCTGCGCGATTGTCTTCCCTGCGAAAAACCGAGGCAACCGAAGCCTCGGAATACTTCGGTTGCCTCGACTTCGCAGGACAGCGAAGAGCAACGCTCGCGGAGTAAGTCTCACCTTGGTGGACTCGTTGTAACCAACAATGACGGCAGTGTACCATTGCGTGGTGCCCTCGGCCCGATAAACCTCGACCCTGAACCCAACCAGAACGCTCGGCGTGGTCAGCAGGATCCTCTGGCCGTCCTGCATCTCCGCCCATCGTCTGACAGCGTTCGCCCACGGCACCGAGCCCTTCGTCAGCTCCCAGTCCTGCTGCAAAAACGACAACGGGGTCAAACGACATCCAGTCTCTTAGATTCTACCGTACAATCGAGCCCATAAGAACCAGAGTAGATCTACTCCAGACCAGACTATCTACAAAATTATGGTACCGAGTTATATCGCGAAATTGAACCTATTTGCCAAAAATTCGTTGTAGTTCTATACTGCCATTTCTTAATGATCGAGGAAATTAAACATACGTCACTTTGGTTTCATAAAACATCCTAATTTAAAAAAGAAAATGTTACTTAGGCCATTCTGGTTCTCAAGGCCTCATTTCTACAGTATAGTGTAGATTACAATTCCTTATTTCTGCACAATTTTTGGCAATGTCTGTAGGTTACTCGTCACGATAGGCGATCGCGGGGAAGTCGAGGCGACAAAAAGAAGATCCGTTGTGGTCCGAGTAGGAAGAGGAGACGACGGAGACCTCGACTTCCCCATTGATCACTTTCTACCAATAAACCGAGCTCCCTCGAGGTGATATCCGATGCGGTACCTCGCGTCGTAATTGGACGATTAATTCTTCTCTGGCTGTAGTTCGTTACGCATCTACGCCTCGCCGACAAAGCGAATCTTATCCCCGGCAGCACGAGGCCGTTTCTTTTGCCTTTTGCGATTTATTAACATCGATAAACGACGCGGAAGAGTGTAGGGTCACTGGGTAATTGGGAGGTCGGAAGCTTATACAGTCAGTCCCATAAATTTTCGTACCCTCTGTGTCTACCAAAAAAGTTCGTCTAAATTAAACGATAGGTTCAATGTTACCATACAAATTTTTATTGCGAGTGTGTAAACGTGTAAAGTCTATTTCTGTACATGTGCATTATGAAGCATTTATTTGAAAATACTAAACCTATCGTTTAATTTAGATCAGGGCTTCCTAAACTTTGTTCATTCACGACCCCAAAACAGGGTCGTTACAGGGTACGAATACTTATCGGATTGACTGTATGCCATTTTTATGGAATACTTCGAGGGTAATTTTTGAAAATGACTCATCACGTGCGTTGACGCCTTCGGACCATTCGTTTAATGGTTCTCGTAGATCTAGTATCTCGAAGAAGCTGAGAATTCAGTAGCAGAAAACGAAGATCATAGATTTTCCCCTCGAGGACAGCCATTTTAAAAGACCGCGCGGCGTTGCACAAGCTCGACGATCGATAAAGTTGTTTCCGACGCGTTGTTTCGTCCCATTTTTCCGCTACCAATTTTCCCACGTAAGACGTTACACGGCGCATATCTCGGCGACGAATCGTTGCGTCAGCGTCTCGTTACGTCATCATCGCGCCGTTACGTCAGGCGCGTTGCGCAATCACGGCGCTAAGCATGACGGCGATGGCACGATAATGGTGGCAATATAACGGCAATTATAACGCTATTATCGAAGCGTCGGGAGCACTTAGCACCCGCCTCAACGCACCCCGACGACTCGCCTGACGTTGTTTCGCGTAATATCGACGATACCAACGTCGCGTCGTTTCTTCCATACGTTTCAGACATCTCGCCCTTTGAAACGTACCTCGCCATCGCGAAAAGAAAGAAACATTCTCCGGCAGGGAAAATAGACGCAGAGTCGAGCATAAAAGCCGCGTCTTCGGCGCGGTTTGCCAAGGACCGTTAGGCAGAACGGGAATATGTTGGCGCCTCGCGTTGGCCGTTCTCCAACGTTCGCCGATGTTGGTGCACGCGCGGTCTCGACACGAGTCACCAAACCGGCAACTGCCAACGGGAAACAAGAGCAAAGGCTCCTCCGCTCGGCGCGGCTCGGCTCGGCTCGGCTCGGGCTCGGCTCCGACCAACATCCACGGGGGCACCGAACGAATCCTCCACGTGTTCGGTTCTTTCCGGGGCGTCGTACGTGTCGGCGCGTCCGCACGACCCCCGAGGTATGCGTGCAGCTGGGAGAAAGAACCCGTTGCATTTATAGTTCAGGGTCAGCAGACTCGTTGCTCTTCTGCGCCGCGGCTGACCAATTCTGGCCGCCTCTACTCCTACGATCTCTCCACTTCCTTTTTTCCCTCGCCAAGCGATTCCACTCGTGCTTTCGCTCCGCGCATCCCACCAGAACCGGATTAACAGTCCACTGGCCTCTCGGATGCCAGACAACCGCGAGATCCTAGTTATATTTTCGGGGTGAAAAATGATTGGGTTGTCCAGAAAGTTCGTGACAATTTTGAAGAAATATTCAAAGGCGCTTTTGAATTTTTTTATACGTACTTATGGAATTTGCATAGGTATAGTTTAACGCTGTTTCAGTATTGCGTAAAATATAATTATTTAAATTTCGATAGAAGGTCAAAGGCAAGACGAAGTGTCATTGATGCGGTGTCTTGGCATCGCTGAACGAAACAGACCTAGAGAAACGACTTTAGATGACTTCGTCACAAAAAGAAAAAAATATCAAATCAGGAAGAACCTTCATCGCAAACGAGTTATCTTTACTCGAACTTTTTTTTTTTACTTTCATGAATGTTTTATGAATACAAAAGGATATTAGCAATAATCAAGTCTCGGATTGATGTACTAACAAATTATTTAAGGATTAATGTTACAGAATGCAGTTTAAATAGAAATTATTTCATACTTTTCACTGCATTTTCTCATACTTTGAAGCAATTATATCTAGGGCTGGTGGATATGCATAGAAATTGACTAGAAATTATTTCGTACTTTCTAGCACAGTCTCAATGTTTTTTGAAGTCGATTATATATTTTTTCCAAAAATTCTTTTACATGAGGAAGCTTTTTTCTTGCACAGGACAAGTTTTTCTTGCTTCAAGAGTGATTTTGAAGAGAGAGAAATTTCTAAGCCTCCAGTCCCCCAAATTAGGTCTCTAGAAGCAACGTTAACGCTTTCGACTAGCAATCAGAATAACGAATCAGGCGGAGAACATGCTCCTGCTGAGCAGAACATCGATCTCGCGGTAACGCGAAGACGCCGTCGGAATCTGGCCCGAGCCACGAAACCCCAACATCGCGTTTGTAGCAGTCTGCGTTGGAACGGGGACCACTGTTGAACGAGACACGATATTCTCCCCCCATCGAGTGAAACTAATTCCGGCGGTAATTGTCTTTGATGCGTAACCAGCGAAGATCGGTGCACGAAAGTCTGGCGTTTCCAGCTGATCCTGACCGAGCTCTCCGCGAAACTTCCCGCCGCACGTGAACCACTTACAGTCGCCCGCGAACCCCGGCAAAACTTTTAACGGTAAAAGTTTCGCTAGTTTAATTACTTGGAAACAATTCCTCGCATCCGCGTCTGCCTCGCCCGCCCTTTTCAACGTAAAAACTTTTTCGCCCGCGTTCGACTGCCCCTACCGCCACGACGAGAAGCCACCGATCGATTTATCGTTTTCCAGGGACCATCGTAAGGCAACCCTTTCGATACACACGAATTTTCATTCTAATTTTACGTACTCGCGAAAAGAAATTATAGTAAAAACTGAAGAGAGTGAAGAGTGCAAGAAAGAGGACAGAGAGCGAAAGAGAAAGAGGTCTGAGGAAAAAGAAAGCAATTTCGGTTAGGATCATATTACTCTGCTCGCTCCCCCAGTGGTGGGTATAGTCATCTTGCATTTATCCAGTCAATCCTGTCTTGCACTTATCCAGTCTGTACTGTATTTCTTACTTCTTTCGTACGTCCGCGTTTAAATGTTTCGTATCGCAAGTTGTTGTTACGCAACTTGTTGGTTTCGGATTACACGAGCTTTGAATTCTTTAGAATTTTTTTGCCGAGCAGCCTTTAAGCGTCCGAGCAGCGCCAGCTGGCCTTAGGAGCTCGAATAAATGCTTAAACTGAATAATAAGTGAGCGAACCTGCAAATCTGTCTCGGCAAGAAGACGTCATGAATAATCGATTGTATGCATTATTAAATGTTCCATTAGATGTACGTGTCGTGTAATCTAAGCATGAAATTAACATTAGCTCTTGATCGGTTGAAAATTATTTTATGGTATCTTCGTGGCACCGTGTTAGCTCAAGGTACGCTTCCATACATTAACAAGTTCGCTGAGAGGCGGAATTTCAGTCGCGCGAAAATGAATCGCGATACGTGTAGAAAGAAGCGATAGGAAGAAAAATCGAAGCCAAGCCGAGGAGTTTTTATGCATGGGAACTTTCTTCTCGCGATTTTTCTTTATCGACACTTTTTCATCTACTTCTTTTCTTCGGTTTCTTTTTTTTTTTTCAAGTTCTCTATTTTAGGATTTACGTCAATCCGCCTTCGTTCGCTTCGCCTATTCAGGTGACAAACTTTCGACAACCATTCATTTCGAAATGCTTGGATTCGCTTTGAACAAAGTAGAAATGGAAATGAATTTTTAAGTCTGGTACGTCTTGAAACTTCTCGAGAACCTCGGCTCTATTTCCTGTGTAAGTACCTTTGCTTTGACATTCTACGCTTCTGCTATTCGCCTTTGCTAGAGTCCCGAGACTTTGAGAATATTCATGGCACGGGAACTTATACGTAACTTATCTTCGTTTAATATCTCGCTTGCTTCGACTGTCCTTACGATGCAACTTTTCCTAAACAATCTCGGCGCAACTTTCGATCCATCTTGATGTTTTGACAGTCGCGTTGCCTCCCGGTGTCATTCTGCATCTCGCATTTACGTCTTCGGCATCCTCGTGTCTCCCCAGTCTTCGGTAGTCGCCTTGTTCGATTATCGCAATTTGATGTATGGTCCTCGTTCTTATTCCCAAAATTCGTTTCTTCGTTTTCCTTACTATTCTCGCAAATTCCATCCATCAATCCTCCGTTCCACCGTTCTGCTTGTCCGAGCAAGCTACAGAGATGGATCATTAGTTTCTTCTGCTATGTTTACAAGGGTACTGGCTACAATTTACCCTCTTTAACATTTTTAGAATGCTTCGATTACCAGATTCTGTTTACAGTGGGTGTAGAAAGAAACAAAATAATAGAATCGTAATTTATTGACTTCATTCTGTGTTTACATTTGGCTCGTATCCAGTCAATCCTGTCTTGCACTTATATCCAGTCTTTATATCTATTCTAAACATTTACGAGAATCTGTAGAATTGATTGTAAAAAAAAAAGCTACAATTTCACACAAAAGTTTCTTGGGAAATTGATCGGTGTACGAATATATTCTGCACCCACTGTATATCTTACCAGTTTTTCTCGCTTGTATTGAATATGATTACATTACGTATCCTTCACAGCAGAAAGTATTCGCGCACGTGCTAATGAGCAACTCTGAAAAAAGCCTCGAAAGCATTGGCACACTCTCAAACTGTCGGCAAGGAAAGCTTACTCGCAGACACGGCAACGAATCCCCGAGGGCTGTTGGATAGGTCAACAGCCCTGGAACTTGCTCCCAAGTTTCCCTGCCCTAACGAAGCTAAGTTTCTAGTTACGAAGTGCCTCGGCTGCTCGAGGGAACTCGCGTGGCTCTTAATCTGATAGGAATTCTATCGCGTCTAGTTAGTACTATGGTATGTTAATAACAGCCATACAGCTTTAACGAATTAGGTCGGAAAAGATGTAGACACTTATAGGATGAAAGGAAACGCGCCGATGATACTCACGGTGAACGGTTTCAGCTTGGAGTAGTCGACGAAGTCCAACCTTCGATCCTGCATGAACTCGAGAGGCATCGCGTCTTCCGGTAACTCGGCACGCGCCACCAGGGGGTAGAATGCCTGCAAGTGAATTTCAATCGAGCGCCAATTAGAACGCGTTCGTTCCTCTCGCGTTTCTGTCTAAAAATTGTTCCGAATCTCCGATTAGATCCGAAGCGAAACGCGAGAGCGATCAATCGACCGGAGTCTGACAGCGTCGTTAAAAGAAGCGAACAGGGAGAGAATTAAATAGAAATCCTATAAATGGATACGATAATCGTGGGAACGACTTCCTCGACGCGCTCTTTACCTTTCCGATTGACGTAATTTCTCGAATACCGTCTGACCTCCGTTATATTTGTCTCGTCGAGTTAACTCCACGTCGTTTCCGGCGCTTAATCAAAATCGCGAGAGAGCAACTATCGCCGCTCGAAAGTCGGCTTGACAGATAATTAAAAGTTGAAGCTAATTACGATTGAAACTCGCGACGGAGAACAGCTGCGCCGAACGAACCGCGTTCGGATCCGTCCGATCCTCCAGACGCCAAGATTGCGGACACTTTGTATGCAAACTACCTGGGACATTCGACTCCGTCGCGCTGGAAAACTTGAAATTACTATTTCGCTCTCGCGAGAATGGACACTTTCGAGGCGAACCGATCGACTGCTTTGTCGATTTTTATAACTCGAGGATATTCCAAATGACCGAACGCGTTTGGTGATTACTCCAAGGGATAGGATGCTAGAATTCTGCTAATTCTGCTAAGTGTACGTGTATCGCTACGCATGATTCAAATACTCAAAGCAAAGATGGCTGATTCTCGTTCTTTTCTCGATACCTCTGATAACACTGTCCAATACGATTTTTTATTCGCGATATGCACTAGGTGATTCTTATAGGGTTCCTCGTCCTAAATACGAATCTGAAAGTGAAATTGCTCCATCACCCTTAGCTAGGTGGTTTTTTCTTCAGAAATGTTTGCAGAAACCTATAATGCATAGTAAATTCGACCTAGACGAATAACTTTTCACAAAAATACAAAAGTATTTCGTGAGAAGTACTCGCGTCGGCAACTTTTTGAACTTCGGTGTTCATTTACAGGCATTCAAAGGAGTAGATAATTCTAAAGGAACATGTCTTCATATTCAGAAAACACTCCTCTATCGTTTAAGACTAAATAGAACTTTCTAGCGTTCGTAGTTTTCAAGTAGTACTACGTTTTCTCTCAAAATCGACCGTATTTACAAAATCCCGAATTTCTCGAAAACTAAAGGCGATGGAGCAATTTTACTTTCAGATTCGTATTTAGGACGAGGAACCCTATAAGAATCACCTAGTGGATATCGCGGAATTTAAAAAAAGTTTAAATTTGTTGGACAGTGTAATTTGACAAGGCACACTTACCAGAGCTGGCCAGGCGACAGTGTTCGCGACAGCAGTGGCGCCCCTCAGAGGTTTCCCGTTGATACGATGATGGTGATGGTGGTGATTATTATTCGCGTGGTTGTGGTGATCGATGGCGATGAGACTGGCATGCCTGGGGTCGGGTCGCTCAGCCCAGGACAATCCTTTTTCCACCAGGAAGAAGGAGAACACCGAATCCCTATGCGGCGATAGCCATTCCCTTCTTTGCCACTCTACGTCGTCGTACTCTACGAGAATCTGGAAGAAAACCGATCGTTCAACTTTTTGGACCTGTTCGCGATAAGAGTTCGGCGACCTCGCGCTTCTACCATCTGCGAATCACGTTTTTGCTCCTTCGTAACGGTGGCTTCTTTTTTCACAGAAAATCGAGAAAAGTTGCGTCGGTAGATTATACGTCACAGACGGAAACTGATTTCTTTGAATTTTTATATCGATTTTTCTGATTTACATCGACACGACTTTTATAATCAAATATATTCGAACATTGGTCTGGAATACGAATATTTAGAAAAGTACAGTATTGTCTCGAAATAAGCAACTCGGTCGGTGTAGCGTATGACAGACAATAATAAAGGAATCGCGCAGTAGTGGGGAGAGCTTAGTTGTTGTTTACCCATCACGGAGCGAGCAGTGTCATAGCAAGTCGGTTAATATTTATTCCAAATTCCCCCTACCCCATAGACGGAGAAGGAGTTTACAGTCGGGACCGGCGAGTTGGTATAATATAGGAAGCAGAGATGTGTTTCGCTGATGATAGTGTTTCGCTTTATGTAGATTGTTGCACACGTATGTGATTGACCCTGGATTGATTGATTTTTGCATATACACACAGTTTACGTTTCTTTATCTTTCCTATAAGATTCATTGCGACCTCGTGTCATGTGTCTACAGTCTTCCAAGAAATCGTATGCTCCGCCCTTGTCGCGACCTCAGATCGCCGCATCGCGACGAAATGACAGGAAAGACGGGCGACAAGAGACGCTGGACGGACGCTTGATGTTGGTCGATTATTGGTATCCATTATTCATAAATCGCGAGGAGCAACGGCGTTAAACGGGGGGTGATTGAGGAAGGAACGGTGAATTCTCACGGTCGGTTTACTGCGGGGCTTCGTTAACGCGATGAATTCGACGCCAGGGAACACCGACGAGCGAGCGATCGCTAATTGAAGGTCGGCCTGTGAGTCGACTAATAAATGCGATCACCGTGTGTCGAGCATCCCGATGAAACTGACCCGATTGGTCTTTTCGCGGCTTCGTTTCGCGATATCGATAGCCTCCACTAGATACGCAAGAAGGAATCGTTTGGAAAGCTGGACCCATTACAAGTTCAAGTTTAGTTTCGTCCAGTAGTTTCTTTTGACACGTTGGCTGCCATACTAAAATTCGTGAAAATTTCTGTGAAGTTGGAATTTTGTAACGAGACTGTCGAAGATTAGATAACTTCATATTTGTCGTGGTATTTAATTTGTTAACCTCGCCAAGGTCAGAAACCTTATCCAAATTTATTTTTATTATAAACCTACCTTTAGAATTATTTTAATTCCTTAATGGAAAACGTGTTAATTAGGTATTACTAATTCTTGGGTTAGGTATATCCTTTTATCACAACTAAGAAATTAAAAATGGTCGTATTTGACACGTTATGTGAACAATTATAAGGCAATTTGTCGCCATGAAAGTCATCGATCGAGCTAATTATCGGACGTTTGTCCATTTGATTTCGCGAGCGAATTCGAGTCTCAAACGATCGGCAACCCTCCCACGCAGTGCAGCAAACCCAAAGGCACACGCGTGACCCGGTACGGTCGGCCAATTAATTGATAAATCAACATTAATGGACGCTGCTAGGTCGCAGAGGCCGGCGCTTACAACTGGCCACTTAAACGGCATCGACGCGAGCGTGTGGAGCGAATTTTTCAACTGGAAGGCCAAAACTCTTCGACGGCCGTTGGATAATATTTTCATGACTGCACGTTGCACTTGCACTTGCATATTGAATGGAACCATGCATTTTTTTTTTAATATCAGCCGTTCATTGCACGAGTCGATTAACTCCAGAAAACAAAACGTTGAGAAATGCGATGAAAATCCGAAATAAATTATTTGTTGTTCAATAGACAACAAAATTTTGTCGTTTAATGGTGGTAATCTTTATTACTCGGGAAAGTTATTATAAAAAGTTATTATAAATATAAAAAGTTGTGACTACATCAAGCGCTTTGAATACTTACATTTAAGGTTTTCCAAAAAGTGGAATTAATCAAAAATTTACTTTCCTCGTAATTCTGTATTTGAAGGTATTAGAAGAATTATACCTCAGGGGCTGCAGCTGTGATTGGTCACAACTACGGTACGGGTTTGGCGAACCCGAGGTACCCGAGCCATTGTAGGACCCATTGTAGGAAACAGACTTGGTCTACCTACTGTTTTAAAATAAACTAATCAATCGGTCAAGAAGACTAGTAATCAAACTGCACAAAAATAGTCAAGTTTTACAGTTCGTTCAATAACAAATTCTAACTAACTTCAATCCTGTGGATTCGACAGTGACTCTGCAAAACGGTTTTTTGAAAACTGTATTTACCAGAGGGAAAAGAAATTAAAGAGAACGTAAATGCACGCGTTCAAAGTATGTGCGTGTAAATGCTTCAAAGTTAATTGCTAGATAAATATTAACGCGAGACCGAGATCGTTCGTTATACCGTGGCGCGGCATAAATGATACAAATGTTAATAACAGGATGTTCGCCAGCGAGGATTTTTATTTATGTTCCATCCGTTGATTGAATTTTCCATCACCGAAATCGAATTTATGCCCCCGGGGTGCGTTCCGCGCGATTGTTTACCACCCCGTTGTTTTTTGCTCGAGCCGAATTTCGAAAAGGTTGGCGACCAGAATAATTGCGACGACAATGACGCGGATAATTACCGCGCAGATATTCGAACTAATCAGTATACGTCCATTGCAATACCGTGCCGCTGTTTTCATTACTCGCGAAATTACGCTGGCGGAGGCGACGTCCACGTTTATCTGGACGGAGTCGATACGTCCTCTGAATACGAATGTTTGCGTTTTGATTTGAATATTCAGCGATTTCAACCTTTCAACCTTCGTTTACTTTGCGCTTCGCGTGGGTGAACTGCGTCGTTATTTTCTCCGAGAACAGGTTATATCCAGATCGGACTAAATTTCTTTTCTTCAAATAAGAGATCGTCATATATTAAATTTTCACGAGCTTTAACACGTCGAACGCCACGTCATATATGGGCGATGGAAATTTTCACTAAGGAACATCGACGATTTTGAGTGCTAATTAATGAAAATAACTCTTCTAGATACTATAGTT